TGCCAATGCTCTTTAGAATAAGAATTTAAAAATTGACTCGCGCAGTTCACCGCATACTCAATATCGGGGCGGCACACCCTAGCGCGGCACACTCTAGTAGCAAATAAAAGTGACCCGACTGCTTCACGGTAAGGTATACGCTTATCTATCTCGCATGCATTTAAATTTTTACATAATATCAAACCAGGTTCTGCAGGAATACTTACAGGATACGCTTCATTCATACCAAACTTCCTGATGATTTTGTCAATATAATTGGGCTGACTAATTTTTATCAGACGATTCGGTCGATCACGCTTGATTTCCATACCAACAAATTCATTCGCACAGTCCACAGTTATATTAAAAGTGTTTTTCAGGTAGCGCAATACCTGATCAATTGCACATTGACTTTTGGAAATCACTAAACCATCATCCACGTAAAGCGCTAGATAAACTTTGTAATTCTCCACCACACCGATAAACACACACTTATCACTTGATATATTCTCGAAACTGAAATTTTTCAAGAACTCCACAAACTTCTCGTTCCAGCAACGTGGGGATTGCTTTAGGCCGTAAAGGCTCTTCCACAATCTGCAGACGAGACCGCTGTTGTCTTCGCTGGTGTATCCTTCGGGTAGCTGCAAATAAATTTCTTCTTCCAGGTTGCCGTACAGGAATGCTGTTTTTACGTCAAACTTCATGAACTCCAGATCTTCTTTTGCCGCAATTGCTAATAATATGCGAATAGATTCATAACGGACGACGGGTGCAAAAGTTTCAAAATAATCGATGCCTTCTCGCTGAGAAAAACCCCTTGCTACTAGTCGCGCTTTATATCTGGTCTTGTTATCACTTGCATTTCTTTTAATTGCGAAGACCCATTTACAACTAATTGCGCGTTTACCTTTAGGTAGCTGGATTACGCTCCATGTGTTATTCTCTTCAAGTGCCCTGAATTCCTCCTGCACCGCATCTCCCCATTCGGATGCATCCGCACTGCTCATTGCCTCAGCATAGGTCATCGGTATAGTGTCTGCAATGTATGATACTGGAACTCCATAACGGTCTATGACCTTCATCTTAGATCTGTCCCGCAGACGCCGTCCTTGAGAATCATCCGGAGCACCTACTTGCTGCTGCTGCTGTTCATCAACAGCATCAAAAAAATTTTCTTCTTCTGTTTCATCAACAGCCTGTTGATGATCGATGCTATCGATGACTTGAGTCTCGTTTTCTTCTGGCAGGCCAAAATCAATTTGGTAGCGGTAGATATGATTTTCTCGTTGCTCCAAATGCTCGCCGCTTCGTTCATTAAAATCTACGTCGCTGCTCACATAGATTTTGCGCGAATCCTTATCCCAAAGTCTGTAATTAGTTGACTCGCCGTTGTAACCCACAATAATCATTTTCTTGCTCTTGGGATCAAACTTTTTCCGTTTTTCTTTTAGGATATTCAAGTACGCATCTGTACCGAATATGCGCAAGTGTTTTATCTCCGTCTTTCGAGAAAACCATTTTTCGAAAGGAGTCATAGTTTCTTCCTTCTTAAAAATCACACGATTTAGCACGTAGCATGCACTATTAATTGCTTCTGGCCATAATTCCAGATTTACACCACTGGCAATAAGCATAGTCCTTGCACTTTCAACAAGAGTCCGTATGTCATGTTCCGCTCTCCCGTTCTGTTCATGTACGTAAGGAGACGAAAATTCGTGAATAATTCCTCGCTTTTCTATATGTTTGCGGAATTCTTCTGAGGTGTACTCGCGGCCGTTATCTGAACGTAGCACTTTTATAATATTTCCAGTCTGCGTATTTACAAAACTTTCAAAGTCTAGAAATTTTTCAAACACTTCGGCTTTGTTTCTTAAAAAATACACTTTTCTGAAACTTGTACATTCGTCCTTGAACAACAAAAAATACTTTGAACCTCGCGGAGATTCAATATTTATTGGTCCACAAACGTCTGTGTGAATTTTCTGACCGGGGTTAAAAATGTTCTCGCGTTTCACTGTTCTATGCGGCTTACGAGTTTGCTTACCCATAATGCATGCTTCGCACTTAAAGTCTTCAATATTTTCAAACACTAAGTCTTTATCACTTAACACTTTGCTGGTATTAAGCACAGCCCGTACATTCACATGTCCCATTCGTTCATGCCAGAGCTTTAACATGTTATGTTTTGATTCGGCGACACTGCACTGCGCGGGCACTTTCACTTCAAAAAGCATTTTGAAAAGTCCACCATGTCTCACTCCGTATGACGTTAATTTTCCGTTTTTATCGCGCACTTCACAATGATTTTCGTAGGCATGAAAGGAAAACTTTTTGTCATTGATCGTTGCAATTGAAAATAAATTTCTTCGCAACTGTGGCACAAGCAATACATTTTGCAGTTCTCTTTCAATGACCTTCCCATTTATTTCTTCACTGATAATAACGGTGCCCATTCCAGTTGCAGGCAGAATTTTATCGTCGGCTATCTTCACATGACGAGCTTCACTTAAAGGGTTAACTGACGTAAAGAAATCTTTTCTAAACGTCATGTGCATGCTTGCACCGGAGTCCGCTAACCAAATGTTTTCGTCACTGCTGGTTGTTTTAGAATAAAACGAGCTCACATCATTGATGTATCCAGATTCAACTGTCAAATTTCTGGGTTGAGCACCACTGGCATTTCTGTTTTTGTTCGGACACTCTCTTGCCCAGTGTCCCTTCTCTTTGCAAATGGCGCACTTCGTTTTTTTCTTCAGCTCTTCAATTTTTTTCTTCTTATCGGGTTTTCGCGCTCCACCGAATTGCGTATCTTTATTTTTTATAAATGCTTGTGCCTTGAGCGCTTTGACTTCAAGGGCTAAAGAAGACAGCTTGTCTTCTACTTCATTAAGACGCGTATTTTCATAGAGTATTCTATTAATCATGGTCTCCTTTGTTTTTTCAGCACTGGGAGTGCTTTGCCACGCCATGATAAACGGCGAAAATCTCGATGGCAAGCTTTTTAATAACTTCGTCATGACTGCTTGGTCGGATGGCTTATCATCTGCATCTGCGAGCTTCCTACAGATACACTCAAAGTCTTCTATTCTTTGAGCGACGTCTTCACCTTCGTTTATAGTAAATGCGTAGAACTGCTCCCACGCGTTGTGCTTCGCATCCTCGCTCGTGGTCCCGAATCGCTGTTCGAGCTTGCACCAAACTTCTTTTGGAGTTGCACAATTTATTAAATACGGATGCAGTTTCATCTCTACGGAGCCGACGATAATACTCATTGCTTTTAATGAGTTTGTTTTCCATTTTTTCCAATCGACTAGCCTTGTCGATTTATCGGGTTCAACTTCATCGCCATCCATGTAACCTGAGAGATCAGCAGATCCCAATGCAATGTTCACACCAAATTTCCACATAGCATAATTTTCTCCGTTAAGCTTAACGAAATTGAACTCTCTGTCAGCCATGATAGAAAGATCGCTGTATGCTGCACTGGTAGAAATTCACGAACACGACGCGACACGTGGTTACACTTATACGCAATGCCTAGCTTGGCTTTATTTTACACGCAATAAATATTCTAGGCGCAGTGGAAGCGTGCTGGGCCCATACTGTTGAGTAACTTCCGAGTAACTTCAACAGAGTCTTTAGAATATTTTATTTACAAGAAAAAATGTATTAAACTTTACAAAGAGAAAAACATTGAACCGCTCGTTCTCTATGCGCGACGACGACTGCACGCGGAGGAGACAATAAAAATTGACTATCGTCCGGGAGGAGACAATAAAAAGTGACTATCGTCCGGTCGATTAGAAAACAATGACAACTGTGTCGCACTTCAGGTTCGTTCACACAAATACATACAGTAAACAAACAGAAAAATTTCAAAATACAAGCGTCATTAAATCTAACAGGAACATATTGCCAAACTCCAGATTCGTCTTGCGAAAGCCGCGATTCATGCTCAATTTGTTTAGGAAAGTTGAATCGACAGACAGCCCTTGCAGCCGCACCTTTTAAACAGTAAGCACTATGTTGTGTATGGCGTTGGAAACGGTTTAGAAGTTGGGCGTATTCAATGTCGCTGGTTAGTTGAGGTTCGGATGCCCAAATGCTCGAAGGATGTTTTTCTGGGGGGTGTCCCACTTGGACGCCGACCGATTGGACGCGTGCCGATTGGACGGTCCCGTTTCGAAGCGTTCCAATTCGAAGCGGTGCCGATTCGACGCGTCCCAATTCGAAGCTGTTAAATTTGGGTAGGTTTGTCCCATTTGGACGCCGACCGGTTGGACGCGTTCCAATTCGAAACTGTTAGATTAGGTTAGGTTATGTTCTATAAGCTCTGCTTCGGATTGGAACGCGTCCAATCAGCACCGCTTCGAGTTGGAACGCGTCGAATCGGGACCGTCCAATCGGTCGACGTCCAAGTGGGCATTACTCGTTTTTCTGCAGGAGGCACCGCTAGACCTGGATTAAATGCTGATACAAGTTGGTCGTAGAAACTTTTATACTGGTGAAGCTCTTATGCGGTCGCTCGGGTGAATATCCGAACATCCGGGACATTTTCGAGCCATAATATTGCGTGTATGTGGGGGCTACCACGATGCTGGTATTCAAAGCACCACCTGAAATCTTTTATAGCGAATTTCGTCTTCAGTATTTTCATAAACTCTGTAACTCTACGCGAGAAATATTCATCAGCAATCAACGGATTATTCGACAGGGCTTTTTGCATAGCTTTCAACTTCTCTCTTTTGTTGCTATTTTCATTGACATCGAAATGTTTGTAAAGGCATGGCCACCAGAGATCAGCTGCGCTTAGAGTTAAGAACAACGTGGGAACCCCCAACTGGCTGACCATTGATTACAATTCTAAACGCCGTTGGTACCAGTAAACTGAAGTTCCACGTATCTTAAAGCCCCACGATAGGAGACGTTTGAGGAGAGAAGAATTGCGTTGAACTTCAAGTGACAACTGTTGTATATTGCAAGTAAAGTCGTTTTTCTTCGCAAATATAGTACTTTGTCTGGTGGCGTCGTGTCGCTGCATCGTATTAATACAATGAAATCTGAACCGTAGATCTTGAGCAAAGCGATGGTCAGGTGATCGCATTAGAAATTCACACCACTCTCTGAATGAGACCGTTATGTTGCGTGAAAAGTCGAGAAAGTCTGGCTTGCCATCTGGGAAAAGATGAGGAAATGCCAGGGGTATGTATCCAGATTGCCTGTACTCGTTGACTGGTTCCGAATTTGCTGTTGGCCAATTTAAAGTTTGTTGAATAGCGTCAAAGTGCGTCTTCTTCGGTGGCAATGGCACAGCGGATTCCTCAATTTGATCTGCTTCGATAGATTCATCAGATATACCTCTGTTTTCGAATTCGATAGATTCATCAGATATACCTCCGTCTTCGAAGAATGGAAGATCATTAGATATATCACCATCAACGGGAAGGGCTTGTACTCCATGCATATCAATTTGCACGTCAGCGTAAAGTGGATTGTTTACAGACAACCAACGTGGTGCATAGAGAACATTTTTTCTTCGAACACGGAAATCTGCATATCCACACACGCTTTCCCGGCGAACGATCAGAACAGACAATGCTTCGGGAGATTGTGGCAAGATTTTGACGATTTCCTTGATGTCTTGCTCTATGTTGATAGCATGCCCTTTGTAATGGAACTGACCGCGAGAGCCGTGTGCTTTAACTTGGTATATACGCATTACAGGATGAACGCGAGCTATGAGCATTTGTTCAACCATGGTTAGTCCTTGCAATTCTGTTGGTATTGGTGCTATTGACATATGATTATGAGGCGTGAACTTTTCTGGCTTAGACTTGCAAGATGAGCGAAGAAAAGAAGGCGCTGTTGTTTGCAATTCGAGCACGAACGGTACACTAACGATTGCAACGTGTTTTGGAAAGCTTCAGCTAGCTGCATGTCATCAAATTGAAGGTTTCTTGGTAATGGCCTCATTGTTACGGTTGCTCCAGCACGCGCAGAGGACTTGCGACGTGCGTCACTCGTCCGTCGACTAAGGTTCGATCGTGGCATGGTTTTAATTCTGTACAGTAATAAGAGCTGCACTCGCCTTCGGCTCGCTCGCTCAATCATTCTATATACGCAAAAATGTCCTTTACGCTATAAGCAAAAATATTATCCCCACCACTGCGGGGAAGATCTCTCGAGACACCCGAAGATCGACCGCCGAAAAATGTAACGTGATTCGGGTAGGGGTATATCCGTGACGCAATACATATACAAATATAAAACTTTTTTATTTTTGATTTTCTCGATATTCAACTTTTACCAATAGATTTTTCGTATGATTCTGATTAAAATGAGACCAAACACGATATAATTTGAAGTATATTTAGTGGTTTGATTGACGATAAAAGTTTCTAGCGCAGAGGAGGATAGCGAGTGAAGAAGAAAGAGACACTGCGGTCATGGCAGTCGGCAAAGATCAAAAGTCTGTTCAATTGTTTGCAATACTTAAGCATTGCTAACTTTTTTATTTTTTATCTAATTTTGATACAACTTTCTCCATCATATTTGTGACATTTTTCTGATTAAAATGAGACCAAACACGACGTAATTTGAGTTATATTTACTTACAATATCTTATTAGAGTAAAGTTATCGATGTACGCGTAACATTTGAAATTACAAGTAAATATGTCGCGAAGTACGTCGTGTTTGGTCTCATTTTAATGAGAAAAATGTTACACATATGATAGAAAAAATTAAAAAAAAAAAGAAATTAAAAATAAAAAAATTTTATTCTTGCATTAGGTTTTTCTGTGACTATTCCTCCGTGGTACGTCCGATTAAAAATATGAATACTGTTAACTGCGTTAACCCCTTAACGCACATACACATGTGCGTGCAAAATTTGATGAGAATTGGTTGAGTGGCACAAAAGAAAAACGCGGACAAAGAAGTTGCAAAGTCAAGTATAAGAGCTTCGCTCGCCTTCGGCTCGCTCGCTCAATAAAATTCCTGCTGAAATAATTGTAGCAATAATTAAGTGTACGAATACTTTCGTCCGAAAATTTCTTACAGTCTCGTGAATTTCAAGTCGTTCCAAGTTATGTTATTGCTTTCGGTTTTGGGTCAGTTGTTGCTGTAAGTGTAATGTTTAATATACAGCTATATATGATTAAATATACTTAATAACATAGAAAATATTATTCTTTTTATTTCTATATTACAAGTGTAGGAATACTTTTGTCCTCCACTGTATTTTAGTATGTGTGAAGTAAATAATTTTTTGGTTATGGAGTGGTGGTTCTATCAAACCGATGTAAGCTTTAGAGGAAAGAAATAGAATAGAGAGAGGAAATAGAATATAGAAGGATAAAGGCTGAACTAACGGTTTGGTTCTTCAGTTAGTGTCGAAAAAATTCTAGTTTTTAGGAGCAAGTTACAGCGTGACGTTTAACTACGGTTACTATACTCTGAAATATATGCTGCCCTAAAACAGTTTGGGTTTTTCCCGTCATCATGTGTTATGTAAACGGCGTGGGTCCTAACTATACAATCCTACGACGCTATAACCATCGTTCTTATCGTAGAAGAAATAACTAATAATAAGATACTTTATGGGAGAACAAATGCACAGGAAAAATTAGAAAAATATGTATTTGGGTGTCATAATATCAACGAGATATAACTTTGTTTATTAAAACTAAACAAATTATAAAAAAATGTTTATAATAACCTGAAATATTAAATGTATTCCACTTTAAATAAAATTACCATGTGGAAGTACACATGTTAACTAACATAATTGCATGTTTAAAAAGAATAATGGGTTGGGTTCTAGAAAATGGGGTACCCTCCGACTCAACTGATTTATATATCAAAAGAAAGCCCTTGACTTGGCGATTTCAACGGTGGTCATCCCACCCCTTAACTCCCACCCCTCTGCCCCCTAGAAGCCAAAAACTGAAACGGTCCAAAAAGTGATTTTTCCCCATATCTCAGCGAGTTTATTATTTCCATCCCTTTTGTTTTTATAATCAGATTTGGTTAGGTTATATCGTTTGGGTCGGGGGTGCAGGGGGAGGGGTGTAGACCCTCCCCCGCCAATACGTTTAGATTTTGAACTGTATTTATATTTCTTGCCTGGTGAGTGTGAATGCTTGGTCTGCGCCCCACCGCAGGCGAACCTGCCAATCGAGCCAAAGCGTCGAAAACGTGCAATATAAACTTTCAATTATATTAGGTTAGGTTAGGTTAGGTAGGTTAGGTTAGGTAGGTTAGGTTAGGTAGGTTAGGTTAGGTAGGTTAGGTTAGGTAGGTTAGGTTAGGTAGGTTAGGTTAGGTAGGTTAGGTTAGGTAGGTTAGGTTAGGTAGGTTAGGTTAGGTAGGTTAGGTTAGGTAGGTTAGGTTAGGTAGGTTAGGTTAGGTAGGTTAGGTTAGGTAGGTTAGGTTAGGTAGGTTAGGTTAGGTAGGTTAGGTTAGGTAGGTTAGGTTAGGTAGGTTAGGTTAGGTAGGTTAGGTTAGGTAGGTTAGGTTAGGTAGGTTAGGTTAGGTAGGTTAGGTTAGGTAGGTTAGGTTAGGTAGGTTAGGTTAGGTAGGTTAGGTTAGGTAGGTTACGCAAGTCGGACCTCCACCTCCTCGTGGTGGTGTCCGGGGAGTGAGATATCTTTCAATGATATCTCACTTGCTAACGGAGGCACGGCGAAACCTCAAGAGCTATAAGTTGCCTGAAAACACTTGTAATATGGGAAGTAGCGATCCCAAGGTATCTGAGCTCCAAGTATACCGTAAGCCTGTGGTCATGTCTCGCAGGAACGGGAGTCTTACCTTAGCTGGTTGGACTGCGAGGATGACAACCTCTATAAAAAATCCCTAATCCCAAGTTTTGGCTGCGGCGAAGAGGATGCACATCTCCCGTAGTTCAGGCTTTGACTGTCTATGCGCGGATGTGTGGCTGGTGGGTGCATCAGTCGTTAGCATGCCACCTCCGGGGTACTTGCCGCCCCCCGGATGTATAAGGCCTCCCAGTGCATGGCGGCTCTGTGCTGGGAGTATTGCTTTCCGACCAAGTGCGTGGGACTAAGTATGAGCCTTAACAAACAAAATTTAAACCTTAATACTAGTATAAGCATAGAAAATGACAATGAAAAGAATGTTGATAAAAATAAGCCTAGGATTGTTAGACAAGAGGAGCTAAATAAGAAACAGAAGGAATTAATTCGAAATTTTTTTAGGGATAGCAGGAGGAGATCCTCGTACTTTGAGGAGGGGGCAAACAGCTCGATCGAGGAGTACAGCGGTTCGGAGAATTGGCCAAAGAAGGGGCAAGGATACTCCTGGCTGGAAGATAGTACCGTGTATGAGGATATGGAGAAAAGACAAGAAAAAATAGCGGAGATTATTGGGACCGGCATTGCTGGGAATTCAACGGTTGTTGGAGAAGGAAGAGGAGGGAACAATAATAATGTAGGGGAGGATGAAGGTAGGATGCATGTAGGGGAAGTGGACCTGTTGTCGGTTACTGGGATTAGCCCTGTAAAGGAGGTGGATAAAGGGAGAGGGGGGAACGTGGTGACAGGTGAGGTTAGGAAAGGGTTGCGAAAAGATGAAGAAAGCGAAAACAGGGAGAAATTAAAGGAGATGAAAGGGATCTTTCAGGGGAAGGTGACTGGAAAGGACTCTAAGGAGCTGCTAGACTTATCGAGAGTGGCAGGCGACTTGGGGGAGGCTAGTAAAGAGATTGGAAGAATTATAATTCAGAGCGGAAATTTGAAAAGAGAGATGAAGCAAAAGATAGTTGATAGGATAAGGGAAAATATGATTAGTATCGTTAGGGATGAGGAGAAAGGAGAAGTGGAGAACCTTATTGGGAGTATGAGGAACTGGGTGTGGGATTCGAATAGGATCCTCGAGACCCTTGTAGGAGTTCCGCGCTTCAGTTCGGTACGGCTTAAAGGCATTTCAGACCTTATAATGAAGTGTGGAAGATTAGTTGAAGAGATAACAGGAGGGCAGGGTAGGAAAGAAGAAGCGGCTGGTCTAGGTAAGGGGGTGCATGATATTTCGGGGACACAGACCTTGAACAGGAATATGAGTGAAGACGAGTTTAGACTTGTTGACAGAAAGAGGAAAAGATATCTCAGGGATGACCTGAGGAGCACGGAAAGCGAAGGTTCGCCGGCAGGTATTATTAAAAAGCAGGTTAAAAGGAGGTTGGAAGAGCAAATGTCGGGTGTGGTAAATTCCCCAGGTTTAATCAACTCGGGAAGGGTTTGCAGGACTAACCCGGACGAAGGGGGAAATGGGGGAAGCCTCCTGGGTGCGGCTAGGAAGCAGAAGGAGGAAGGGGGGAGGAAGAGAGAGGGGGGCTTCCTAAAGATAAAATGTAAGGAGGGGGCTACTTACGAGCAGACGCTGAGGGAAAGTAAGGAGAGGATCATGATAGGCAGTATTAGGATTAATCGAATGAGACAGACAAAGGGAGGGAGAGAAATTCTGTTTTATTTTGAGGAGGAGGAAGAGCTCTGTAAGTTTGGTGACAGAGTTAAAGGGGCTGGATTCAAGGTGGAACCAGTCGTAGGTAGGAGAAAAAAAGTCATGCTAACTGGCATCGACTTAGATATTAGTGAGGATGATCTGAAGGGGATTTTAAGGGATGAACATAGGATTACGGATATGAGAACTATCTTTTTTAGGAAATCGCTGAGTGGCAGTAATAATGCTTGTGTAGAGCTTCAGGAAGAAACGGCGGACGAATTTATTGCGGAGGGAAGAATCAAGGTTGGGTGGACGTGCTGTAAAGTAAGTAGTTACACTG